AAGTCTTTCCCAGGTGTCCAATTCAGGTGGACTTGCTGAGGGGAGCTCACGGTGGGAAGCAGAGGTGCTGAAGGCTCCAAGGTTGAGTCCCTGGAGGCAGGGCTGTCCCTAGCCATTTCGGTGCCCTATGCAGCCCTCCTGTGGGGGGGCTGTGGGGGGCCCCAGGCCTCCAGGGCGGGAGGGGCTGGCCCCAGGCCTCCATGGGGAAAGGGCTGGGGAGAACGGGAGAAACCGCTTCCTGGCCCCAGCCTGCTCCGCTCTGCTCCCCTGGCCCCCAGCCTTGGGGGGCAGGGTGGAAACTGCCCCCCAGCACTCGCCAGTGGCACGGCTGGGAGCCAGGGGAGCGGAGTAGGCTGGGGCCAGGTCGCTACATTTACCATGCAGTGAGTGCAGGCCCATCCCCTGCAGCAGTCCTCAGGGGAGTGGGGGCGGGGCTGGGACAGAGCAGGGGTGGGGGCCATGGGGAAGAGGCGGAGCAGGGGCTGGAGCAGCACGCAGCTGTGCAGGGCACCAGGAAATGTGGTGCCCCAAATTCCCTGGTGCCCTACGCAGCTGTGTACTTTGCATATGGGTAAGCATGGCCCTGCCTGAAGGCAGTGAAGCCAAGAGGCCTACCCCAGTGACAGTGTCACCCTAAGGGGGCTGACACACAGAAGAGGTCCTCCCAGGGACTGTTCCAGAGCACTGGACCTGTGGATCCATGACAGACCTCTCTCTAGGTCCTCACATCCAGGCTATGTCTAAATCTTGCTGATTCTTTCTGCATAACATCTCTAAGGCTATGCCTACACTACTGCGGTAAGTCGACCTATGCTACGCAACTCCAGCTACGTGAATAACATAGCTGGAGTCAACGCACCTTACGTCGAGTTACCGCGGGGTCTACACCGCGGTGGGTCGACGGGAGAAAATCTCCCGTCGACTTACCTTACTCCTCTCGTCAGGGGTAGAGTACAGGGGTTGACTGGAAAGCGATCTGCAGTCGGTTTGGCAGGTCTTTACTAGACCCGCTAAATCGACCGCTGGTGGATTGATCTCATAGCGTCCATCCCCGCTGTAGTGTAGCCGTGCCCTAAGATACGGCTTTTCCTATCTATCCACCCAACTCTCATCATCTTGTGCCTTGATTACTGCAACATCCTTCTCTCTGGCCTTGACAAATGCAATCTTGCCCCACCCACATCCATCCAGAATGCTGCTGCATTGATCATTTTTCTAGGGTTACCATATTTTAGTTTTTAAAAAGGAGGACACTCCACGGGCCCCCGGCCCTGCCCAACTCCGCCCCTTCCCCGCCCCAACTCTGCCGTCTCCCGCCCGGCTCAGCTTGGGCCCTAGGGCGCCAGCCCCCGGCCGAGCACCCCCGGCCCCGCACCGCCGGCCCTCGACGGAGCACCGCCGGCCCCAGCCCCGCACCGCCGGCCTCCGACTGAGCACCGCCGGCCCCGGCCCCCGCACCGCCAGCCCCGGCCCCCGGCCGAGCACCACCGGGCCCTCCCTCCCTATTTTCCCGGACATGTCCGGCTTTTTGGGATTTCCTCCCGGACGGGGATTTGAGGCCCAAAAAGCCGGACATGTCCAGGAAAATCCGGACGTATGGTAACCCTAATTTTCCTAACCCATCACTCTGATGTCACTCCTCTCTTTGAATCCCTCCACTTGCTCCCCATTCTCTAGCACATCAAACATAAGCTGCTTTCAAGGCCCTTCACCATCAATCCCCACCCTACCTATCACCTCTCATTCAGTGTCACTATACCGACACTTGCCCATGATTCCAGCCTCCAGTGCCCACTTATTAAATGTTTACATTTTTAAATTGATAATAGGGGATCTGGGCATATGCTATCCCAGGCACCCTGTGCTAATAGCCTGAATCCCCTTCTGCAGGGGCTCATGCTGAGCAGTGGCTCTCGCAATCACTGGCCACATTTCATCCAGGCAAGTTTTTTTTTTAATCAGTCATGTTCAAAATCTAGCTCCAGTTTAGCCAAATGCTCTAGAAAGTGTCTGCAAGCACCAAATCTCTCCCAGGTTTGTATTCCATTTGCAAATCAATTTGAAAAAATAATCTCTGTATTCTTGGGGGTCGGGCAAGAGGGTTGCCAGGCCCTTTTCACAATGGCAATAAATGGTTTAAGGTCAGTTTCGGCTAAAACTGGCCTCCCATAAATAAAGACATGAAACTTTTTACCCCCATAGACTCAGGCCAAAGCCGCCTCCTCTATTTGAGTGTACTGATGCTAAGGGTGTCGGGAGGTATGACTGCAGCACGTGGACGTGCCTGAGCTAGCTTTGATCTCTTGTTTCTGACTTGGACTGTGGGTTCTGCATGCCTCTAGGCCTCAGGTCTTTTTTCTTGCAGTATTTTGGATTCTCTATCATGTCTACAGTGTCAGAGCTTCAATCTGGACAGGGTGACATCTGTTACTTGGCAAATTCTAATTGCTTGGTCTCCTAGTAGTCTCTGTAAGTGTTTTGTTCCAGATCCCAAACACAACCTGGTCTCTTACGAGGGACTCAAGTAAGCTCCCAAAACTGCATGATTGGCTCTTTAGCCTTAGATCAGACACAAAATCTTCTTCTATAGTTTCATCTTCCTTTTGTTCCCTTCTCTCTGATTAAAAACATCTCTCGTATGTCTCATTTTTAGGTGGAGTGCAGTACTCAAATGCCACTGCCAGTACTATGATTTCATAGTTAGCCTCCTCTGCCTGACTTAACTGAAAACTATTCAACACATCCAGTACTTCAGAACCAGCTATTGTCAGAAATGAGGCTTCTTTCTGACTGTTTCCTTTCTATTGGCACCCATGGCTTGTAGATGTGGAGTGAAGGGCTGTGTGAACCTTCTCCAGTTGTCTTCCAAATTCCAGAGCAGTTCAGCTCTGGTGGGGGCTTTTAACCACTCCATTCTTCCACTCAGGGTATTGTCTAAGTGCGTTTTCACTCCTAGTACCACGTGGTGTTCAGTGATCACTCAAAGTGCTTTACAGAGATCTGCTTCATTCACTATCTCAGTTTCAACTGCCTCCAAGTTGCATAATATGAGCCTCTGAAAGGTACAATTACCCACAAGCTCCTCCTGCTGGGATAGGCTGAAACTGGGAGTTTCCCCTACAGCCAGCTTACTCACCCTGACTCCTACAGTGCCTCCTGCTGGGAGAGGCTGACTGGAGTGGCTCCCCTAACAGGCAGCACTCTTGCCCTGTGCCCTTCAGTTTCTCTTGCTGGGAGAGTCCAGGACTGTTTCATTTCTCCCCAGGTTCATGCCATCCCTCTCCGCTCGTCCTGGGTCATGACCTGTGCCTATGCACCCTCAGGGAATTTTGTGGCCTGTGGGGGTCTCGACAACATGTGCTCTATCTACAATCTCAAGACTCGTGAAGGCAACGTCAAAGTGAGCAGGGAGCTCTCGGCCCACACAGGTGAGTACCCTCCCCACCTCTGCAGCCCAGGGCATCCCTGCCCCTAAGCCTCACTCTCCTGCCCCCGCCATTGCCCCCATTATTCTCATCATCTATTATTCCTGCCCCTCAGGTTACCTCTCCTGCTGCCGATTCCTGGATGACAATAATATCGTGACGAGCTCCGGAGACACCACGTGGTGAGTGATTCCCTTTATCCTCTCACCAGACATTGGTGTTACTAACTAATGATTTTATTGCAAGTCCCCAATATGTGGCATTTATCTTAAAGCTCCATCCCCAGGAGTCATGGGATTAGGGCAGAATCTCAGTTTTTAGCCCTGATGGTTGCAGAGAAAACTGGAAAATGTGACCCCAGTGCATCTTAAAGGCTCAAAAACCAGATGACAACAAAAATAAACCCAAAGTTTTTTATGTTTGAAACTCGTGACTCGATTTTTGAATGCTTGGAGTGGCAATTCTGAGGCATAGAGAAGTATGGGAGGGCTACAAAGAGGAGGCTGATTCCTCTCTCCTTCTGTATAATAAACGTGGTATTTTTCTTTCCAGCTGAGGCCAGGTCTACACTAGAAAGTTTGCTAGTATAGCTGGTACAGTTTACAGCACTTTAGTGAGCAAAATAAGCTACACAGACAAACAGCACGTTTATGCCAGTAAAATTACAATAATCACCCCCTAGGCAACATTGCTGTGCTACCAAAAGTTTCTAACATAGACCTAGCCAGAGTTAGCTCAAGCCCTTACTCTTAGGCTACACCACCACCAGTAGCCTGGTTGTATAGGTGTTAAGCTGTATTGACACAATGTGATAAGAAGGCTCCAGTTGCGTTAAGCTGACTTGATTGGTAAAAACATCTTTTTCCATCAAGTAGCCTAGGCCGTAGTTTCCACCCCTTCTTTTAAAATAGGGTAAACTTCCCAATGTAGCCTTAAGGCTGGTCCATCTCCCGTGGCCACGAGACTCTAGCACTTCTGTTGCTGTAGCCCTGAGGACTCTTCTCTCCTCCCCTTACAGCGCACTCTGGGATATTGAAACAGGACAGCAGAAGACTGTGTTTATGGGTCACACTGGAGACTGCATGAGCCTGGCCGTCTCCCCAGACTTCAAACTCTTTATCTCTGGGGCCTGCGATGCCACTGCCAAGCTGTGGGATGTACGGGAGGGAACCTGCCGTCAGACATTCACAGGGCATGAGTCGGACATCAATGCCATCTGTGTATGTACCTTGTCCAGCCTGGGAGAGCAGCAAATATGTGTGTTTTATGCCCAGGACTGAAACAATCATGGGGGCACTATCATAGTTGTGTGTGGGGAGCCACCCATCTGGGTGCTAACGTGGGACTTGGAAGATCTGGGTTTTGTTCCCTGCCCTAGAGCAAGCTCCTCAGTCTCTCTGTACCTCAGTCCCCAACTGTAAAGGGGACAGTAGCATTGCCCTATCTCGCTGGGATGTAAAACCACTAACATTTACAAGGGCCCTGGGCTGGAATGGCAGGGGCGTTGACAGAGCTGGGGTGGGGGGGCAGGCTGGTGTAGTAGGTGCTGTGGGGCAGGATTATGGTCCCTTGCATGAATGGTGCCATCTCCCTCTTCAGTTCTTCCCCAACGGTGAGGCCATCTGCACCGGTTCAGATGATGCCACCTGCCGCCTCTTTGACCTGCGGGCGGACCAGGAGCTCATCGTCTATTCTCACGAGAGCATCATCTGTGGAATCACCTCAGTCGCCTTCTCCCGCAGCGGGCGTCTCATGCTGGCTGGATATGATGACTTCAACTGCAACATCTGGGACTCGCTGAAGGGGGAGCGTGTGGGTGAGTGGGTCCTGGAGTTGCCTGTTAAGGCTACCTACTGCAATGGAGGCCTGGGAACCCCAGCAAGTCACTCCATAGGAGACAAAGCCCCCTTTTCTAGGAGGGGCAGGTTAGTAGCCGGGGAGTCAATTCTCCCAGAGGCACTCCGTTGTGGAATGTAAGTTACCCTTTTCCTAGGAAGGGCAGGTTACAGTCCTGCTGAGGGAAATGCCTCCTCTTGGCATTAAGGTATGCAGAAGATGCTTGCTAAGATGACGTGCACAGCTGGCGTGGTGCATAGTGGTGTACGGGCATGTAGGCCACATTCCCCCAGACACTGTAGCACGTCTCCCCCCGCCCTCCTCTTTTGATGATGTCTGCTCTTTCTCCCCTTCAGGGATCCTCTCCGGTCATGACAACAGGGTGAGCTGTCTGGGGGTGACAGCAGATGGCATGGCCGTGGCTACTGGCTCCTGGGACAGCTTCCTCAAGATTTGGAACTGAAGAGGATGATCGGGAGAGGGAGATTATTGGGAGGAGGGTGTGTACAACAAACACATTGTCAGTTGAGCACAATTGGTATTTCTACCTGTTAGTCACAGGCATGTCTCTCTCTGAGGGAAAGGAGCCCTCCATTAGCTGTTCCCCCCAACCCAATTCCTAAATATGCCATAAGGCTTTCAGCCTGGGACAGGTTGTAGGACCCCAGATAAGTGAGACTGTTTCACAAGCTTTAGGACCTTGCATTGCACACCCAATGACACCCATTCCTCCCCCAACTGACTCCACACCATTTTATCCCTACATTGTCCCCCCACCCCAATCACCCACCAGAAAGACAAACACCATTCCCTGAAAAAGACCTCTACCTTGAGGCAGGAACCCCCCTCCACTACATAACTACAACCATTGCTCCAGACACACCTCCCCTAATCCTCCCAAAGAGAGAAACCCTCCTCCTTGCACACGGGGGTAGAGAGAAGAGATTTTAGCCAGCTAGGACTCTGCATTGAGCTTTGCTAAGAGGGGCTAATTTCTGTGGGACTCCCTCCCCCCACCAGTTAGCCCAGTTTTATCTATGCATCAAATGGGGGAGGGGAGTTCACTGCCCCATCTAGGGCATCAAGGACAGGGAAATGTTAATTTATTTTTATTTATATTCCTGAAGCTGTCCCCTTCCCCTCATCCACATGTGCCGTGTATTGCTCTTGCATTAGCTTGTAGACCACCTCAGCCCCTGCTTTCAAGATGTAACTATCATACAGGAGTTTCAGGCAAAATAAAAAGATCAAGTGAGATGCATGTGCTGCATCATTTGAGACAGACACTGGACTAGGCTACTGCAAATAATGCTTGGGAACACAGGGGATAATCATCTGGGAACCCCTACATGTCTACTGCACTCAGCTCTAGCCCCTCACTCCCAGAGGCAGGCCCCAGGGGAGGGAGAAGTCATGGGCCTCCCCCTCTCTTGGTGCCCTGGGAGGACTATGCAGTCTCCCACCTACTTCCACCCCATGCCAAACACTTGGTTGCTCCCTCTGGAGTACACAAGGGGTCAAGTTGGGAGCAGGAGATTGATATTTGCTACCGTCAGCCACTGAAAGCCTCTCAGGGAGCTGAGGATTTGGGAAGGCCCCTCCATCAAGCTCAGGAAATTCTGAGCCAGCAGCCAGCCAGCCGACACCTTCCTGGGGTCCCAGTTTGTTGTAGCTAAGAAAGGATCTAACCCTATGAGATGCCAGAGGCAGCAATAAAGAGGTTATGACCACACTTACAACAGAAACTAGCATACCAAAGAGACAACACCCATTATGCAATGCTCACGAGTGGAGGGGTACAACTCCCAGCATGCCATATTCTCGTCCCAGAGGGAGGTACCCCCCAGCCCCAGAATAGCTCTTCTCACTTCAAAGTAGGTGTAGCTCCCACTAGTGACTACCGCTCTTAGCACGTCACAGACCCTGGCTTAAATGGCATATGCCATTGAATGCTGGAGATCAGTCTCTGCTTCCCTTCAGGGTTGGTGGGGGATTTCTGCCATACGAACCAAATTGTTTTGGGCCCAAGATTCAGCAACAGCTGAACTGGACAGGCACTGGGCAAGGAGGTGACTGCTAGCCCAGGCAGGATGCAGCAAGACACTGGTGCAGCCAGATGGTCTTTAAAGTGTGTTTATTAACCATATGCATGGGCTTATAAATTGAGGCAGTGCAAGTGAGGTTTCAGAGACCAACAGCCACATAGCACAGAAGCCTGTATGTGAAAAGAGATATGCATAAAATTAGGGGAGAGAAAAGGAAGTACTGTTCATCCTCTCCGCCTGAAAAGATTGGGTGAGAAGAGACTACAGGCCCAGGGTGTTCCTACCCAAAAGAGCAGGATCCTTTGTCCTTAGAAGGCTCCATTCCAGAAGCACAGATAGAAGAAAGGGTAATTGTCAGGAGTCCAAGGGAAAGGGGACCCCCCAAACCCTTTAATTCTCCACCAAATGAGAGTGTTGATTCTCTTTGTTCAAATCATTCCAGGCACGGCCCCCTGATTTGAGGCTGCACCCTGGATCTGCTGCCACCTCCTTCCACTCCCCCAGGTTCTCTGCCAGCAATGGGTGCCTCTTACCCTGGAGAGGAGAGAAAGTTACTTAGTGCAAAGGCAAGTTAGTCTGAAGTGTTCCTCTCTGGGGCTCTGGTGAGACCCTACATGAGATACTGCACCCAGCTCTAGGCCCCTCAGTCCTTTAAAGGTAGGCAGAGCTCAGAAATATGCAGGGGTCATGCAGTAAACAAACATTTTAAAATCCCCCTGGCTGCACCTGCATCTTGATACATCCCACAGGGGCTAGCAATCACCTCCTTGCCAGGGTCTGGGGAGAGATTCAAAGAGGAAGGTATACCCAGCATGGCAAAGCCATGATATGGTGAGAGGATCATCTGCAAGTGTCTGAGGAGGCTCAAACCTGGGGGGTGAGGGGTGGGGGCTTGGCAGGTTATTTAGTGGGAGGTTAAGAGGATAAGACCGAAAAGGGGAAAGGAACTTAGAAACCAACCCTCAGCACTGAGGGGTTTGTGAGCCCAAAGTCATCTCTCCAAAGGGCCTGGAGCCCCATTGTTTGGGAAAACAATTCTGAACTGAGCTCATGAGGTGTTTAGAACCTGAAGGGGCTCCACCCCTACTCTGCCCCTTATGGGGTCCTAATGCCTCATCCCGCAAGACTCCCACTAAGCATCACCTGGCGAGGAGTGAGAGTACTCGGGGAATTGTCGTCTTGTAGGATGCTGAGGGGAGAGCGCCCGGTACCACCAGAGGCTGCCAAGACTTTGTTGCTGGCCTTGCGTCTTGTGGGTTTGCCCCCTGGAGAGAGAGAAAGATGCAATCAATAGCAGCTGCAATTCAGTTAGAGGTTCAGCAGTTTTATAGTCCTTTCTGCCCTTTATGATAATCTAGTCTGACCTCCTGCATAGCACAGGCCAGAGAACTTCTGCAAGTGACTCCTGCACCACCCAATGACTTGTGAGTGAACTAGAGCATCTTATTTAGAAAGAGCTCAATCCTGTTTTAAAAGACTCAAATCCACCCCACATATAGGTAAATTGGTCCAATGGTTAAATAATCTCACTGTCATCTCCCACATGCGCCGATCCTTTGCTACTCTCCCCTCCTGAGGGCTATGGGGTCCCTCTGCTCTGTGATTGCCACCTGCTAGAGCTTCTCCCCATGCTCATAAGCAAGGACACAGGTCCTGTCACACATAGGAGAAACATCCTCTCCAAACTGTGCTCCCATATTACAGCCCCTTCACCTCTCACCCCATAGACATTCCCTTGGGCAAACTGCCATCTCTGGCTGAGGCACACCACAAACTGTGTCTCTCAACCCAGTAGCAGTTGATCAACCTTACCAGTTAAATGCCCTCCACTTAAAACAAGCAATGCTTTTTATCATGCATCTTTCCCCTTTTCTCCAACATAACAGCCATGCTGGGTCAGACCAAAGGCCCATCTAGCTCAGTATTCTGTCTTCCAACAGTGGCCAATGCCAGATGTCCCAGAGGAAATGAACAGAACAGGCAATCATTGAGTGATCCATTCTCTGTTGCCCATTCCCAGCTTCTGGCAAACAGAGGCTAGGGACACCATCCTTGTCCATCCTCACTAGTAGCCATTGATGGACCTATCCTCCATGAACTTATCTAGTTCTTTTTTGAACCCTTGTTATAGTCTTGGTCTTCACAACATCCTCTAGCAAAGAGGTCCACAGGTTGACTGTGTGAAAAAAAAAATACTTCCGTTTGTTTTAAACCTGCTGCCTATTCATTTCATTTGGTGACCCCTAGTTCTTGTGTTATGAGAAGGAGTAAATAACACTTCCTTATTTACTTTCTCCACATCAGTCATGATTTTATAGACCTCTATCATATCCTCCTTTAGCTGTCTCTTTTCCAAGCTAAAAAGTCCCAGTCTTATTAATCTCTCCTCATATGGCAGCTGTTCCATACCCCAAATCATTTTTGTTGCCCTTTTCTGAACCCTTTCCAATCCCAATATCTCTTTTTTGAGATGGGGCAACCACATCTGTACGTAGTATTTGAGATGTGGGCATACCGTGGATTTATATAGAGGCAATATGATATTTTCTGTCTTATCAATCCCTTTCTTAATGTTTCCCAACATTCTGTTCGCTTTTTTGACTGCCGCTGCACATTGAGTGGATGTTTTCAGAGAACTATCCACAATGACTCTAAGATCTCTTTCTTGATTGGTAACAGCTAATTTAGACCCCATCATTTTATATGTATAGTTGGGATTGTGTTTTCCAATGTCCATTAAATTGCATTTATCAACATTGAATTTCATCTTCCATTTTGTTGCCCAGTCACAGAGTTTTGTGAGTTCCCTTTGTAGCACTTCACAGTCTGCTTTGGACAGAAGTCTAGTATCTTGAGTAGTTTTGTATCATCTGCAAATTTTGCCACCTCTCTGTTTACCCCTTTTTCCAGATTATTTATGAATATATTGAATAGTACTGGTCCCAGTTCAGATCCTTGCGAGACACCACTATTTACCTCTCTCCATTCTGAAAACTGACCATTCATTTTTACCCTTTGTTTCCTATCTTTTAACCAGTTACTAATCCATGAGAGGACCTTCCCTCTTATCCCATGACATCTTACTTTGCTTAAGAGCCTTTGGTGAGGGACCTTGTCAAAGGCTTTCTGAAAATTTAAGTACACTATATCTACTGGATCCCCCTTATCCACATGCTTGTTGACCCCCTCAAAGAATTTTAGTAGATTGGTAAAGGGAAATCATGTCTCACAAAAACTATGTTGACTCTTCCCCAACAAATTATGTTCATTTATGTGTCTGACAATTTTGTTCTTTACTATAGTTTCAACCAGTTTACCCGGCACTGAAGCCAGGCTTACTCCCCTGTAATTACCAGGATCACCTCTGGAGCCCTTTTTAAAAATTGGCATTACATTAGCTATCCTCAAGTCAGTCGGTTCAAAAGCTGATTTAAATGATAGGTTACAAACCACAATTAGTAGTTCTGCAATTTCACATTTGAGTTCCCTTGGAACTCTTGGGTGAATACCATCTGGTCCTGGTGACT